GGGACAGGAGGTTACAATGGCAAGTTTTGTATTATACAAGGGATCTGTGCTAAGAAATCAAACAGGTTTATAAAGCAAGCATCACTCATGAGGAGGGTTCCTGTCTCACCCAGGGAAGGACTGTAAAGAACTCTGACACTACAGAGCATAAAGGGAGGCTTGTTCCCTTTCCACTCTCTCTGCACTCTGAGAAAATGTGCATGGTGTGAAGGAGAGGCAGAGAGGCTTGGGTGGAGAGAGACACCCCTCCTTCTTGGCCCAGGGCCCAGGGAAAGGTGGCTACTCTGAGCTGTGTTTACAGGCACCGCCTGCGCCTGAGCTCTCATCAGCTCCTTCTCGGATGCTGGTCTCCCATTGGTGCCCTTATCTGGGATCTCACCTTGCAGGGTCTGGGATAATGCTTGTCACTTGTCCTTTATGTCTGATGTGTGAAGGTGAAAAGGCTTTCAAGAGTGTTTTGCACCTTGAGCTTGGGTGACCTCTGCAGACGATTAGGATCAGAAGTCTAGACAGAGGCTCAAGTTTAAAGTCACAGGTGTGTGTGGTGAAGAAGTCCCCTGTCTCCATGATGGGAGCTTGTGACAGCTGCTAAAGGGCAAAGAGGTTTGTTAGGAACTTAGCTTGAGGGTGCCATGATGCTAATGTAAATTTAGAATGTCTAGAACCCTGTTGTAAGGTTAGTACTCATGTTGGCTTTGACAGTTCACCTTGGGCTGGATATAGGAGATGGACGCCCAGTGACTTCTCTTTAAGTTTCACCTCAGGCATCAGACTGCAGCAAGAACCATTGGGAACCCCTCAGGATCACATGTTCAATTGTGCAAATTGTCATTGCCTGGCTGAGGGGAGCCAGGAGACCCAACTCAGTGTTTACTTTGTCAGCCAAGCTGTTGGCCTCATCACAGGGGTCACAGGCTCAGATCCACTCAGAGGAAGGACACCTTTGGTCATTTTCATCATGGCTTAGGAAGAGCTAGCAGCTGTTTAAATGCTGTGGGCCTCAGTTAACATTCCCTTCTTTCTCTGTTATTTGGCATGCAGAATGCAAGGCCCCAGGTGACAGGGGGTGGAGTTTCCTGGGATCCAGTGTGTACAGAGTGCAATCACCACCTTTCTGTGTTTTCAGAAGTGGTGGCTGCTGCAGGCTTGTTTTCTCCCTGGGGACCATGGTGTGGTGGCTTTCTTTCTAGAGCAAGAAGGCCAGCTCTCAATATCTCTCAATCTCTCTCTCTCTCTGTCTGCCTGTCTCCCTCCAGTGTGTGTGTGTGTGTGTGTGTGTGTGTGTGTGTGTGTGTGTGTGTGCTTGCATGTGCATGCATGCATGGATCTAGGGAATCTTAGTTGCTCCTTGACACTGGAACCAATAGCCTTGAGGAAGAGGTGGGATGCTCCCCTGCTGGGCTGCTGGAAGAATTAAATGACACAATGTGTATGTGGAGGCACAGGCTAGCATGCTAGGCTGACCTGCAGGGAATCTTGTTCTGCCAGCTGAGTGCTTGCTCAGACCATGTCTACCTCTGAGTCTCTGGCAGGGAACTTTCTCCTGCTCACCCCTGCAGAGCCCACACTTGGGAGCTGAGGTAGATTAGACTTCTGTTGGGGGCATCTGGGTGCATAGTGAGTTCCTGGCCAGCTTGGATTGTATGTAAGAAGACCCTGTCTCAAAAACCCAAACAAAATAAACAAAGTCCCATACTGAGGAGTGAGCATGAGAAACAAATGAATCACCAAATACAGACCTGAACACACGGTGGCAATTACTCTTGAATCTGTGTCCCAGGAGGGGCACCATTTGTAAGTGGAATAGTCACTATTTTTATAAATTCAACATTGCCCTGGAAATTGTGTGAAATCCAGAAACAGTCTAAGACACAGATGGGAAGATCCATCTGGAAACTCAGAGCGGGGCCTGGTGACACACAACTTGTGCAAAGTCCCGTGCGGTTGTGTTCTACACTGTGGATGAGAGAGTCATGGGTGAAGGCTTAAGGAAGGAGGTAGGAAATGGCTAGCCTTGAGGACGGGAAGGAGAAAGTCAACCTTGACCAAATATCTATTTCACATCAAGTGCTGGATGGGCCCAGCGGACCACGGGAAACGATGAACGCCTTCCATGTGAGGAGGGAGGCATGTAGTGTTCACGAGTTTGCTTGAGTTGACACAGTCTAGTGGAGACGGCAGGCAGATCTGAGGCCATGTGGACTCGTTCTGCAGTGCAAATTCTTTCCCTTCTAACACTGAAGATAGGTGAGGGGAACATGCACTTGGACAGGTGTGCATGTGTGAATGAGTGTATGTGGGTTTACGTGTGAGATGTGTGCTTATCTGAGTGTATGTGTTAGTATGTGTGAGAATTTATGCATAGGTGAGTGTGTATGTGTTAGGATGTGTGCATATCTGAGTGTATGTGTTTGCATGTGTGAGAATGTGTGCACACACCGAAGGCCTGCATGGCATGGTCAGGATACTTTTTGCTGTAAGTAGAGGGCAGAGTGGCTGTTTGGGATACTAAACCCAGAGCTGGTTTCCCAAATGATGGGGCAAAGGTGGCAATGGAGTTTTCTATCGAGCAGCAAGGTCTCAGGAGACGGGGAGGAAGTGTAGTGGAGGTCAAAGTTGGCCTCAGAGAGAACAGCTCCTCCCTGTGTGCAGAAGGCCCCTCAGCCCCTGCCAAGATGGACAGCCATCCCATCCTGCATCTTTCCATTGTGGACTGAGGCCATCCACTCTAGACAGACATGGTGTGATGGGAGGCTCCAGCATGAGTGTGCACTGTTTACCACAGGCTCACACGTTTGAACACTTGGACCCCTGACGATAGTGCTATTCGGGGAAGGTGGTGGAATCTTTAGGAAATGGAGCCCTCACTGGAGGAAGTGGCTTACAAGGGACCTGAGGTTAGCATCTGACATTGCTTCCTGTCCACTCTGCTTCCTGACGGCTTATACAGTGTGCACAGCTGCCGCATACCCCTACCTCCATACCTTCCTTCCATGACGGACTGCATCTCCTCCGACTGAGGGCCACAATAGCCCTTCCTACTTATAGCAGTTTGGTCACAGCAGCAAGAGAAGCAGTGCCCTAGTTTTAGGAAGGCCACGAGAGTGGAGAAATGCTTCCTGAGGGCCACTACTCCCTGACCTAGGATCATGGGAAGCTCACCCTTCTATGTGTGGCCCAAGGATGGGGAGCAAAGGGAGACGATTACAGAACACCTTGTCTCTCCATGGCTTGGGGTGTGGTTTGTGTGCTTCCTTGTCAGTTTTTGGTAGCAAGACCGACCGATTTAGATTTGCTCCAGTTACAACCACCTTGGATTCTCAACTCACAGACTAACCGCAGGTAGCCAGAACTCCATTTCAGACAAAGGTTCACTTCCCACAGACCCCTGTCTGCCACTCAGTTGAGGAAGTAGAAAATTGGATGTCATCTCCTCTGCTGTTCCCCTCCTGCTAACGACAGGAACGGGGTTTCAGAAATGGAATCAAGGGTCCTGGGTCAACCTTTCAGAGCAGCTTCTGTGTAACTGAGGATTCTAGAAAACTGTGCCCAGGACTGAGCACCTGAGCGTGGCTCTGCCTGTCTCCGCACAGAGAAGAGAGCCTGGCACACAGGGGAGCTGAGAGCCATCTTCTCTCGTTCTAAGAAAATGTACTTAATTTTACAAGAAACCCGTTAACCCAGTGCATCCTTCCAGTCGCCTTCACTGTGTCCAGATCAAATATCCACAGTCTTGAACAGATTAAAGTTGACCTCCTCCTGTGTGAAGGGCTGAATCCCCTGAAGGTATTTCTGTGATCACGTGAATTCCCACACCAGTGAAGCAGAATCAATTTTAATTCCATGTGGTTTCAATTCCCCAGGACCATTGCTTGGAATGCAAAAGGCCTAACATTCTTCACTCTGTTAAACCCCTGTTGTTCTGGAAGACTGCTGTGGGTGTCCCAGGGTCTCTCCAAGTGAATGATGTCCACAGAAATCCCTGCATGTTTGCGTTAACTCTTGGGACCAGTCGTATCCTTTGCCTGGGGTGACATAGATGGAATGTGTGGATGGAACAGTTTGGGGCTGAAAACTTAACTTGCTCTGTTGTCACTGGGTACTGATGTTGGGCCACTGCCCTAATTTCTCCACATCCAGTGTCCCTCTTCCAGTGACTATTGGTGGGTGGTCTATCTAAGTGACTTTACTCTAAATAAGGTTCTCTGCAGTAGATACTTGAAGAATTTCTGGAGGGTCTAAGTTACATCTCTCTGCTTTTGGTGTTGGGAATGGAAGTCGGGCTTTCACGCATGCAATGCAAGCTCTCTGCACTCAGTCACATCTCCAGACCTTTCTTTCACTTTGAAAAATTTCAGACAGGGTGTCACTAACTCAGGCTGTTCTGGAACTCATCCTGTAGCCCCAGTCTGTCTATGCATGCTTCTTGTTCTCTGGCTACACGTCTTCCCGAGGAGCTGAATTACAGGGTTGAGTTACCAGGCCTGGCTTGTGTTTCATTTTTCTCTCTAAAGCAAATTAAATGTCTTTAGTGCTGTCTTCATGGGCTTCAGCAGGGCTGGGAACCCATCCAATGGTGTCTCTTGCCCTCCCAAGGTAGGGCTCCCACAGGGCCCTTCATCGTCTCCTGCCTCAGTCCATTGGGTAATGCTGTAAATCCTCACAGTAAATCCTAGCAGGACGTCTCTGTTCTCTTTCTTGGCCTTAGTCTGTCTGGAGCCAACAGGGTCAGAGCATATTTAATCTCCTAGCTTCATCTTCAAAGGCCTCTTGCATGTGTTTTCCTCACTCACTGGCTTACTGTGCTGCGCACCCTGAGGTTCCCAGGATGGACAGACAGGATCTTTGGGCTGGCCTGGCTCCTGGTTTTCCTTTTTTGCCAAAATCCTGGTCACTATTGTTCTCAAGACACTTTTGCCAGGTGGGGATACTTTCTTAATAATAAGGGTGATGACTTAATACACACGGAGCCTTCTGTGTAAGCTCGAAGCCCCAAATACCTGCTCCAGTAGCACACATACTAAAATTACAATGACACAGAGGGGATCAGCATGGCCCCTACACAGGATGACATGCAAATTTGCAAAATATTTCATAGTTTTACACATAAAAATTTTAAAAATCTTTAAAAAAAAACAACAACAATAAAAAACAAAAGTCAAACATGGCTTGCTGCCTGCAGCCATTGTGCAGGTGAGGTAGATAGTAGAGTGCCTGGGGCTGCCACCACCAGTCCAGCCAAACCCAAAACTCCAGGTTCTCAAAGACTAAGATGGAGAGTGATTGGGGAGAACACCCCTTGCCAAGTTGGGCCCTCACGTGTATGTATGTTTATGTGCATGGTTACCCCACACACATGTGTGTAGGCATGCACAAATACATGCACAGGTATGGCTCCCAAAACACATATACACACATACACACAAAATAGTAAGTGGCGAGAGCCTCCCTTTGGGATGGGTTCAAGAGGTTCCCCCTGCTGGTCTGTGTGAGTGGGGAATTGCCGTGGTCTCAGAAGGGTCTGTGGAATGGAGTCCAGGAGCTCTACAGAAGAGCAGGCGAGCTGGGAGGGATCCTCAGACTCCATGGAAGGCTTACTCATTCTAGGAAGACACGGAACTAAATAGAGGGCCGGCCAGCTAATGGCCTGGGGGAGGGTCCCGCTGGGGATGGCTCAGGCTCTCAGCTGTTGACTGGCTCTGCAAAGTCCCTGTTTGACAGTCCACTGTCACAGGCTTGGGCACACTCATGTCTTCACTGCACTAGGTCAAATCCTGGAAGCGGGGGCTGGTGGAGCCTGTTTACCTGGGAACTGGTGGTGGTAGGAGTGAAGGAGAAGAGAGAAATAGGGATATGGGATTAGGAAGTGTTGCGGATTGCAGAGTTGTAAAACACGGGAGAAGGGCGATGAGAAGCCCTGCTTATGTGTGATGCTTGGCTTGTTTCCCCAGCATTGTCTTGGGAGTATAGGAAAACCTGTGCACTTCTTTGGGTTTGGAGGATCGCAGAGTGAGTGATGGGCTTTGGAGCTGGTCAGTGTTCTTATTTGAACTTCACCACTGTTCACTAAGGGCCAGTTCAGCCTGCGTTTGCTTTTCTTCCTCTGACACAGCCCAAAGCTGCCAGCCTGCACACCACTGCCAGCACTCCTGCTTTTCTTTGGTGCACACTGACCCCCTCCCTTCCCTTCCCTTTCTCTTGCCTCATCTCAGCTGAGGAAGAGACGTGACTCAGTCAACCAGCAAGGAACAAAAGTAAGAGTGGCATGTTATCCAAATAGAGGAAGGTTCTCTGACACAAATGGAGGTTGCCTTAGACTGTTGTTAGACTTTGAGGGAGGATAATGGAGACTCCAAAATAGACTCACAAGGAGAATCAAGGCCGCCCAAGGCTGGGATCCTGCAGACACTTGGCACTTTTACCCCCTTTCGGCTGGCCAGGGATTCCTCCCAGCTTGCACGTGACAGTTTTGTGTGTGATCTGGTGCTGCCTCCAGGGGAGCAGGAACCCCCAAGTCAGCATTCCTGGCCTTGAACCTTGCAGAGCATTGACCCTTCACCCCTCCTTCTCCCTGAGTGTCTTTGAGCGAACCATGATACCTCAGTGAGGGATTATGATTCCCGAGACAGCCTGGCCACTATTCATGGCAGATGCAAGTCCCCGTCTCTCTCTCGAAAGCAACATTGTGGGCTGGGAGAGCCACCCAGAACCTGTGATTTTGGTGAATGCCAGAGCTGAAGGGACAGAGGGAACCTGCTGTGAGTGAGGCCCACATAAGCCCACCATGGGCAAAGCCAACCTCTAAAGCAGTGGAGGCTGCTGGTGCTGGCCCTGGGTGCAGCCAGGAAGGACCCGGATGTCCCCAGCTGTGGGGATCCCTGGCAACTGCAGACTGGCTGTGTCTCCAGGAAACTAAATGCCCAGTGCTGTGTAACTGGGAGGTGGGGCTTTAGGAGGTGTTCAGGTCACTGGAGCCCTCCCCATATCTGGGTTAACAGCATCACTAATGGGTTTAGCGAAGGACTTCACTTCCCTCCCTTTATCTTTTTTCATCCCATCTGACCGTTCTGCCACGCAAACATGCCCCCGGTCCCCCAGGATGTAGCACCAAGGAGAAGTCTCGGAAGTAGAGTCTGGGCCCTCACCAGATACGGGATGTGGCACTTTGATCTTGGAGGTTCAGCGTTCACCACAATAGAAAGTAAGTTTCTTTCCTTTATCAGGAAACCAGTTCAGAGTTTTGTGACAGGGCCACATCTAGCATGAGATCAAGAACAGGAGACTCTGAGTTTCAAGGGCCCCTGGTATTTCACCGTCACTCTCCCGGAGGCACGGTTAAGTTGCCACACAGGGCTGCTGTCGTTGGCCGGCCACACTGTCCTTCTGAGATCAGTCTCCGTACCCTTGACTTAACTTGGACTTTCCCCATCGTCACTCAGCGTTCTTTCTCTGTGCTGGACTGCAGTGTCGGTCCAGGGGAGCCGCATTTTCCTTAGACAGCACGCTTTGTTCCCTCTCTGCAGGCCTTGCTTTGCATCAGCACCCATTCCAACCAGAGCCCCATTTCATTCCGTCTCTCCCAGGAAGAAGTCTCCCTTGGGTTTAGAATGGCCCTAAGTGAACCGGATTGGTGCCTATCATTTGTTTGCTCCTGGAGGCGGCTCCTACTCCAGCCTGACATTGGAAAGTTGGCACGTTTCTTTTTCTCCTGGCTTACATGGTGTTCCTCTTGTAAAAGGGAGAACATTTGTGAAGTATGGCAAAGGCAGAGGGGCTGTTTCTACAGTTCCTTTAGAGTAGCATTTTATTTCTCCACCACCATTTGAAAGGGAAGGAATGGGCGTCCCAACTGTGACCTGGTCCTGGCCTCATCTCCAGGCATCTCGGACTATAGTTGATCCAAATGGAAGAGAAAGTTCTGGGAGGGGTGGGCTTGGTCACCTCTTGTCCATTCATAGTCTATCAAGTAGGAAGCCAGAATGATCTTCTAGGATTGGGCTTCTGGGGATGGGCTGAACCTGCCACAAAAGTTACCATTTGTTTCTTTAACCACCAGGCTATACACCCTGCCTCTCCACAGGCAGTGAAAACAAACAAACAAACCCCTGCCCAATGGTGCCAGTGACCCTGTCTAGGTATACCCAGAGCCATCTGGTCCTGTGTTGTCAAAATTAACATTTGAAGCCAAGGAGAAGGTTCTGTGGCTGAGCTGTCCTTCTATGGCAGCTACTGTAGGGGGAAGACTGAAGGGCTTCGGTGTGAGGGGCTTCTCCCAGGAGGGCATGCTGAAACAGGTCAGCCCTCTCAGAGGCTTGGGAGGGGAAATCATTCCAGGGCTGCTGCTTCAGGTACTTTCAAGGGATGTGCCCATTCTGTGTCCATATCCTCCTCCTTTAATTGGGGAGGCTGCAGGTCTTTCCCGGTCTCTGCTCATGGAGATAACTGGCCCCTGGCATGGAGAAGCCCTGGTGTAACTGTAGTGCCTGCTTGGCATTCTGTCTCCTGAGGCTGACGCGACTAGCTTGTGGGTGGCGAGCAGCTCTAGTCCCTGCCGGAGGCTGGCTTGCTGCAGTGCAGTCTGGCCTTCCCACTGGCTTGGGATATGATCTCGTTTAAAACCACATTTCACCCTGATTCTGCCCTCCTCCCCTGGGGCCCTGGCACTTCTTGCTTGCTGCTCTCAGCTTCCTACTCAGTCACACCTGCCGTTTGGATCTCCAGCAATTGCTTGTTTGATTTCTCTAAAGTTTCTTGATAGAGTTCCCAACACAAGTACACACGCCAGGGCCATCACAATGCTGTTCTGGAAGGAAGGCTATTGTGTTTCTATCTGTACTCTGCCTGGGCCGTGGACTCAACGTCTGTCACAGACACACCCTAGACATGTCACTCTCACCTTGGTGATCTATAACATACATTTAGAAATGTGGGTGATGCCAGTCCAGATTCTGACATTATTATTTCCACACTTTTTAAAACACATCCAAGAACTCTTCTTCAGGTAACTTCTCTGCTGAATCAGGAGAGGCCTGTCTGCATGTGGGTGTTTAACTGACCCAGCCCTGACTTGGTGCTGTTGAACACACAGAAAGGCGTGCTGAGTAAGAGCTGGCTAGCTCTTCTTCCAGCTCGGACGCTTAAATAGCTTCTTGATACATCCAAGGCACAAACTTCTCTTTATCTCCAAATTCTTTCATGGCAAGGCTGAAGGTAAAGGTTATCTGGGAGGAAAAAGGTCAACTGTGGTGGAGAGAACTCCTGTGGAGGTTACCAGAGGGCAGAGACTCATGCTATCCAGGATAGCAGCCACCAGCCAGGAGTGTCCCCTGAGCATCTGAAATGAGTCTGGTCTTGATGGAGATATACAGTCAGCCTCACCATGCATGGGTCTTGGACATGGGATGTGAGGGAGTAATCCATGTTTACATGTTTGAACAATGAAGCTCTGGCTATATCTTGTCATATAATAATACATCATGGGCTAATTTCATATTTAATATATTTTTAGGGACTTTTAAAAAAAGTTTTAAATTTCCGGGCATTGGTGGCTCACATCTTTAATCCCAGCACTTGGGAGGCAGAGGCAGGCGGATCTCTGAGTTCGAGGCAAGACTAGAGCGAGTTCCAGCACAGCCTCCAAAGCCACTGGGAAACCCTGTCTCAAAAAAAACCAAAAAAATTTTTAAATTGTGTGCACACACGTGTGTGTGTGTGTGTGTGTGTGTGTGTGTGTGTGTGTGTATAAATATCTGAGAGTGGGCTCGTGCATGTGTGTGCTGGTGCTATCGGAGGAGGCAGAGATGTTGGATAACCCAGAGCAGGAGGGCATGAGCTTCTGGGTACTGAACTCAGGTCCTCTGTAAGAGCAGCGTGTGCTCATAATCCCCAAGCTATCTCTCTAGCCCACATTTAATTCTTTAGGTTTGCATACTAGAGAATTTGATACACACGAGGCTGACATCATGTCTGCAGCACTGGGGCTGTGACGGGCCATCAGGTGGTGGCCTGTCAGGCCCACTGCTGGTGTTTTGGAGACAGCATGGATGCAAACGGGTGTTATGATAAATATTTCTGCCAAAAGCTGCCTGAGCCCACCGCCACG